TTCTCTCCCCTCCACCCCGGCTGCCCTGCGCTCAGCGCAGGGAGGCTGCGTCTAGTTCCAGCTGTGCTGGAGCAAGCTTCCCAGCTGAGCGCAGGATCACAGATGCCCATCTGATGGACTGTATACGATCAGCAATCTCAGACTACCACCCAGACTTCAAGACACTGGCAGATACTGTTCAGTCATGGGTGTCACACTGAGACTTTGTTATTGGAAGAAAAAATGTATAATTCTCAATACTTGATTTTAGATTTACAAAATAGCAGAGAACAAAATGTAGAATTGTAAATGCTTCATTTGACATTTCAATAGCATGAATTAAAAACAGACCATTTATTTCATAACTATAAACATGTGATTTTAATTTTATATATTGCATAATTTAAAAATAAACTGTTTAACAGAGTGCATAAGGGCTGGGGATAGCAAGTGATGGACAGGAGAATAGAGAGGGCGGGGCTTCAAGGAAGGGGCGGGGCAGTAGATCTTCGCCTGTTCTGAGACTTAAAAAGTGATCTTGGGTGTAAAAAGGTTGGAGACCACTGGATTAGAAGATCTCACTGAACTAAGTGACTGGGCAACAATATGGCAAATGAAATTGAATGTGGATAAATGTAAAGTAACGTACATTGGAAAAAATAATCCAACTATACGTACAATGTGATGGGGGCTTATTTAGCGACAATGAATCAGGAAAGAGATCTTGGAGTCATTGTGGATAGTTCTCTGAAGACGTCCACGCAGTGTGCAGTGACAGTCAAAAAAGCAAACAGGATGTTAGGAATCATTACAAAAGGAATAAAGACGGAGAATATCTCATTGCCCTTATATAAATCCATGGGACTCCCACATCTGGAATACTGTGTACAGATGTGGTCCCCTCCTCTCAACAAAGATATACTGGCATTGGAAAAGGTTCAGAGAAGGGCAACTAAAATGATGAGGGGTTTGGAACGGGTCCCCCATGAGGAAAGATTAAAGAAATAGGACTTTTCAACTTGGAAATGAGGAGACTCAGGGGGGATAGGTTTGACGTCTATAAAATCATGAGTGGTGGGGAGAAAGTGACTAAGGAGAAGTGATTTACTTGTTCCCATAATATAAGAACTAGGAAGTTCTTCTTCACACAGCGCATAGTCAATCTGTGAAACTCCTCGCCTGAAAGAGGTTGTGAAGGCTAGAACTATAACAGAGTTCAAGAGAACTAGATACATTCATAAAGGTTAAGTCCATGAATGGCTATTAGGAATGGTGTCCCCAGCCTCTGTTTGTCAGAGGGTGGAGATGGATGGCAGAAGTGAGATCGCTTGATCATTATCTGTTCGATTAACTCCCTCTGAGACACCTGGCATTGGCCACTGTGGGCAGACAGGACACTGGGATGGTTGGACCTTTGGTCTGACCCAATACGTCTGTTCTTATGTTCTTATGTCCTTAGGATGCTTAGAACTGCTCGCTGCAGTTGATAACTATGAGGAATTACTAATATTGAGAGGCAATGTTTGCACAAGAGATGCATTCTCTAATCAGGGTAGCTACACGGCACTGAGGGCTGTATTGATGGATGTCAGTCACTTAACAGTAATTGTGATCACAAATGATGCCAAGGGGGAGAAACTAGTCACAGGAGTCATTGGAGTGAAATTCGAATCAAACCAATAAAAAAAGGGTTTCCTTTGGTTCACGCCAGCCTGTGAGTGATGACTTGTGGGGCGTGTGCTAGAAAGCTGCCAACACTTCCCCACTCTCAGAGATGTCGGTATTAGATTCACACGAATGTCTGTAGTGTTTAGAAGGGAAGAAAATGCTTGTGTGTTGCAGTTGCACTGAGAATGGCTACACCACATCTTATCAGGGGCTATTTTTGTGTTTGCATGGCCCTCTCTGCACATCACACAATCTGCAGAGAAACATGAGTAAATGTTTCCCATGGCAGGGGCTATTTCCTGCCCAGCTAAACCCCCTCGACATCAGACAAACCATTGTGGAACGTCAGAGCACAGAACTCTTGGCTGTTAGCTCCCCAGACCATGAAGTCGAGACTTGTATGTGAACTGGTCCCGTCCTCCCAACCTCTGGAGGTTTAGATGGTAATTCACTGGTGTGTATTTGTTCGCTGGCTTTAACCTGCAGATCACTCGCGTACTCTTTTTCCCTAGTTAATACATATGTAGAAAAATTATCACAGCCCAGACTACAGGTGTGGTATCGCTCTAGGATTTAGGGCACCAATTGACCTTCCGAAAATAATTTTTGTTTTAGGGCTCGAAGCATCTGACACGGGGCGAGGTTTTTGGTCTCAGTGACCATTGTTGTTAGGTCCAGTGTGTCTGACATTTGAGATGGGCTGGGTAGCCCAAGGGCATTGTCTTTGACTCCATGTTAAGGCTGTTAAAGGACCCAGGAGTCCTCGTGTGTTACAGGCTCTGGGAAATCTCATTAGGGAACTCTAACTGAATGGCCGTGTGAGCACGGAGAGTTTTAAAAGAGTAATAAGGTGCATGGATGTGGGGCGTCTGACTGATTTTTCTGTACTGAAGATCACAGCCCCGGTCCTCTAATCCAGGGTCTGTCCCCTGTGGTTCCCCCGTTGTTCTTTAACCCCCTTTCCGTTCCCCAAATGAAGAGGGGGCTGTGTATAAAGCAAACCAGAAGAAGACGTATTAAGGAATGATGCAAAATTAGGGAATTTGGGGGCAGGGAGGTAACATGCCAGCAAGACAAACAGCAAAGAAACTAGCCATGCCGTGACTTACTAAGCGGGGTGAAGCTCAGACCCAGCTGAGTTAATCCTGGCCATGTCAGAGAGTCAAGGTAAGGAGACCCCTAAACAAGGATCTGATCTAGTGACTGATGGGGACGGCCACTTGAAAGGGACTTGGGGCCTTCAGCCCGTGGACCCCATAGAACCTTTGAGGGGTCGGCTGAGGGGTTCCCTGCTGTTATTCAGGGGGAGGAGAGAGCTGCGGGCGGAGCAGGGAGGTGAGTGAGCGGATGGGGGTGGGGCACCTTTGAGGGGTCGGCTGAGGGGTTCCCTGCTGTTATTCAGGGGGAGGAGAGAGCTGCGGGTGGAGCAGGGAGGTGGGTGAGCCGATGGGGGTGCGGATGGCTAATGGGGGGTGCCCCTGTTCCCCCCACAGTGGTAAAGGGGGGGTGCATGTCAGAGGGGACCCGGCTCTGGCTGCCTCTGGGGCAGCGACTGGCGCCTCCCAGGCTGTTTGGCGGGAGCCCTGAGGGGAGCGGAACTCTCGGCAAGGCGGGAAAATCCGGTTGGAACCGGTTCCCCAACAGTCGCTGTGCGCGCCATGGGGGGAGGGGCAAAGCCCAAGATGGAGTCCAGGGGGTCAAAGGTGACCGACGCCACTTTGTTTGACACAAAATCGCCGTTTTCACGTTAAAATCCCTGCCACGGGGTCTGCTGCCCAGTCGCTCTGAAGGGCGTTTCCCAACATAGCTCTCGCTCGCAGAGCCGGTCCTTCTCCTCGCACAGTGTCCTTAACATGGTGCCGTCTCTGGCCGGGGTCTGCCCGCTCCCCCACCTCACAGCCTGGAAATCAGATCGTAATGGCGAGGGAATGTCCCAGAGGAAGAATTGCCCAGGGGCTGGGGGGATTCTCCAGGCATGCTGGTTCTGAATCCAGCCCCCATTCCCCTTCTCAGAGATGCCTTTGGGACACGGGGGATCAATTCAGGGACCCCCCAGGGCCTGCGTGACACAAGAGGTCAGACTCCATATTCCCACTGGTCCTCTCCCACCTTGGGGCCCAAGGGGGATATTGGAGAGTGTGGGGGGGGGCTGGTTTATTTGCTGGGGTGCATTTCCCACCATGGGGGCAGTTTTACAGGCAAGGGAAGGGATGAGAAAGCAAATCCCGAAAGCTCTTTGCCACGGGGTGAATGTGAATCCCTCCCGGAGCAAAGGGCTGACACGGGGCTCAGAACGACACTGAGGGGCAGTTTCAAGTGGACGGGAAAATGTCGGTTTCTTTCCCTCCAGAGATGTTAAAATAGCACCCGGGTCGGGAGGTCGGGGCCCAGCGGGAGGGTCTGGCTGGGTGGGGCGAAGGGGACTCACAGCTGGGGCCCCCCCTCATGGCAAGGTCTGGCCTCCAGTGCTGACGACAGACCCACAGGCCCTGTGGTGATTTCTCCTCCCATGACGGGTCCCCCCAGCCGGCCAGTTGAATGACTCCCCTGTGGGGATGAACAAAGAGACGGGAGAGCTTCTCCCCACAGCCCTGTCTCAGCTGGGCTGCCCCCTTTCTGCTCCCCTCCACCCAGCCTTTCCCCAGCTGTGCCTGACCAAGCCTCCAGCCCTTCATACCCAGCGCGGGGTCAGTCCCATCCCATGGGGTCAGGGCTTGGGGACTTGGAAACCCTCCCCTTGCCCGCAATGTCATGCCCAGGAAATGCTCATTTCCCCTCCTCACACCCTGTACACGCACACCAGCGTCTCGCCAGTTCCTGAGCTGAGCGGTGACCACGCCTGAGGCTGCAACTTTCTCTTCTCAGCCGAGCACCCAGCTCCCAGCCCGGCGCCACCGGCTCAACATGGAGCTACCTCTGCTCCTGCCTCTGCTGGGTAAGTGCCCCCCTCGGGCCCCAGTGCCTCTGTGTGTCTGTCTGTGTGTGTCTGGAGACTCCCCCAGCCCTGCCCTGTGTCCCCATCCCCTCCCCAGAGCCCTCTGACGGACTGGGCCAGGTATGGACACAGCTAAGGGTGTTCACTCAGAGATCCTTACAGCCCCAGACCGGAGATCTTCCCAAACAGGCCACAAACCAGTCACACCGAGCAAAACCCCTCAGCTCTCTCTGTGCCACAATCAGCCCGGGGCCTAATGCACAGGTGAGGGGTTATAGGATCCAATCTCACCTACCCCGAATGGGCCTTTCCAGTCCCAAAGAACCAGCCACAAATCCCCGGTCAATTTACACTCTGGGTCTTACCCACAAGATCACGCTGGGCCAGTCCTTTAGAGTCTAACATATAAAGGTTTATTACTAAAAGAAAGAAAAGCACGAGAGTCAGGTTGTTAAGGAGAATACGTTACATGCATCGAATCTCCCAGTTCTCAATGCAGGCTCTAGCAGAGACGTTACAATCTGCTCTCTTAAAAGTCTCGGCTGTACGTCCTACGTCAGGATGGGTTCTTCCTGGCTCGCTGTCCCTCTCAAGTCTGCTTCTGGAACCAGTAGCAAAATTGAAGGCAAGACGGAGTTCGCCTCACGGCATTTTATATCCCTCCTGGAGTCCTCCTGGCTAGAGCAGGCCACATGGTCGAGCAACCTGCCTCTGTTTCACATGCTGGCAGCCATTATGCCCTGGCCGGGTTGCAGGTCCCAGACACATTCCTCAGGTGTGTGTTGGGCACCGTGAGAGCCTTTTCCCAGGAGCCTTGCTAATTAGCACACTCACTGACTGGACGTTCCTTGCCTTTGCTCTGTCTCACACAGAGACTCTTCCAGCATAAGCACAGAGTGCATCTTTATAACTCCACATACTGATATCACACAGGTACATGAATAGCATATACCGAATCAGTAAGACATAAGCTTTCGTTTGACACCTCACATGGCCCCTTTGTACAGACTTTGGGGCAGCCCCCTCACCCCGTGGGTGCAGCAGTGACCTGTTTGGTTCCCTTTAAAATCCAGTAACGTGACACCCCACCCCCCACTGTCACACCCAGGAAATGCTCAGTTCCCTTCCCCATGCCCTGCGCACGCACACCAGTGTCTCCCCAGCCCTTGAGCTGAGCGGTGACTGCACCTGAGGCTGCATTTTCCTCTGCTGAGCCGAGCACCCAGCTCCCAGCCCGGAGCCACCGGCTCAGCATGGAGCTAACTGTGCTCCTGCCGCTGCTGGGTAAGTGCCCGCCTCCAGCCTCCTGTCTGTCTGTCTGTGTGTGTGTGTGTCTATCTGTCTGTCTGGAGACACTCCTGAGCCCTGCCCCACATGCCCCTCTGCTTTCCAGAGCTCTCACCCCCTCTTGTTTCTTCTCTTCCAGCCTCACTCCAGAGTCTCCCCAGGCCGGTGTCCACCGCAGGTAACAAGGTCTCCTGGCCTCCCTGGGATGCTGGGATGCTGGTGGTGGGTGGGGGAGGGGAAAGGGGTCCTGGCAGTGGGGCAGTGAGAACTGGGCTGGCCATGGAGACAGTGTCATGGGGAGGTGGGAGCTCAGGGTGCCCCTGGGCAGGGCCCATTGCTGTGGGGCTGTGTGTGTGTGTGTGTGGGGGGTCTCTTGGCCCCAGGTCTGGGCTCCCACTGAGGGCTCAGTCCCGGGGTACAAACCCAGCACTGCCCAGCAGGGCAGTAAAAGCAGGTTCTGCAGAGTCTGCAGAGTCAACAGGATGGGTGGAGAACATCCCCTTCCCTTCCCCACATCTGCCCAAACTTCCTCAGTTCTGCTCAGTGCTTGCTGGCCACTGCTGGGCAGGGCTGATGGTCGGCTGATGGAATCTCCCCTCACTTCTGCCTCTGCCCCCGTGGGGTGAATCCCCTGGTGGGAATTAGGGTCTTTCGGTTGATCCACTTGCATTATGAAGCCTCGCCCCTTTCTGCTCCCCACTCGGGGTCGCCCCTCCCCCAGCCCCTCTCTGGGCTGCGTCTCTCCAGACCTCCCCTCCAGCCTCCAGCGGCCAGAGCGAGACAGGAGATCCTCTCCCCACAGCTCCATCCCCGCTGGGCTGCCTCCCGTCCTGCTCCCCAGCCCGTCCTTCCCCAGCTGGGCCCGGCTCGGTGTGCGAGACCCCTTTCCAGGGGCTCCCTCCGTCTCAAGGGTGTGGCCCCTGCACCTCTCTGAGCCTCGTGCCTGCCTGTCTCTGCCGTGGGCGCCGTCACACCATGCAGCCCGGCTCTCTAGACAGACGGGACTCGGCTGAGCCCAGCACAGGAAACTCCCCGGGGCCTCAGGACAGGCAGACCCAATGTATCTCGCTCTCTGCTGCCTCCAGGCGGGTGCTGCCTGCTCTCTCCCCGCTCCACAAGCCCATGGTCTCCTGCCAGCCCCCACACTAGATCTGGACCAACCGTACACAGGGGAGGGGGTCACACTGATATGCCCCAGCCGCATGGGCACTGCCCAGCTGTGGGCAGCCTCAGCAGAGAGAGGGGCCGCGGTGGATTCCCAGCTCTTGTGGTTTCTGAAGGCACCTGAACATGTTTCTCGGAGCTCGGTTCTAGGTCACACGGGATCCGTTCGGGGCAGCCCCATAGGGCTGGAGAGAGGCAGGGCCTGGCTATTGGCCGTGGGGTGTATCCCCCCTGGCAGGGAGCTGGGGCGGGTCTGTGCCCGTGTCTGTCTGCAACTCGTCACTTCTCCCTCCTCAGGCTGTTCTGGCCTCTGTCTCTGTCCTGACCCTCTGTCTCTGTCCTGATCCTCTGCCTCTGTCCTAGGTCCTCTGCCAGCCCCCAGGCTACTTCCGGACCGACCGTACACAGTGTATCTCCCAGGGGAGAAGGTTAAACTCCAGTGCACAGCTCTTAGGCATGAGCAGACTACGAAATACAGATTCTTTCAGTGGTTCTGCTTGGGGGCACTGCTGTGGGGAAGCTCGCAGCACCAGGGTCCCTGGCTTGGGGCACTCCTGTAGGGAAGCTCGCAGCACAGTGGTTCTGCTTGGGGGCACTGCTGTGGGGAAGCTCGCAGCACCAGGGTCCCTGGCTTGGGGCACTCCTGTAGGGAAGCTCGCAGCACAGTGGTTCTGCTTGGGGGCACTGCTGTGGGGAAGCTCGCAGCACCAGGGTCCCTGGCTTGGGGCACTCCTGTAGGGAAGCTCGCAGCACAGTGGTTCTGCTTGGGGGCACTGCTGTGGGGAAGCTCGCAGCACCATGGTCTTTTGTATCTAACTGACCTCTGCTTCCCAGTCTCCCTCTGGCCCCTGCTCTGTCCCGGAGCCCTGAGTCCCCCTGAATCCCCGTGAGTCCCCTGGGCCCATCCCACAGAGCCTCTTCCCTGCCATGCATGGCTGCCCCCGGGGTCTGCTTGTATGATTCTGCTACCACAAGCCCCACAGCTCCTGTTAACCCTCTCAGTGCCAGTGCGGGGCCAGTGCCCATCACACGGAGTCAGGGTCTGGGGATTTGACCCCCAGCCCAGCACTCCCCATCTGTGCAAAGCTCCCTGTGCCCTGCAGAGCCTCCAACGTGAGTGTGAAACTGCCCCCCGCACTGCCCCTCCCCCATGCTGCTGCTGGACCAGGGGCTGGGCTCAGAGTCACTGATAGGAACAAGAGACACGCTCAGGTGACAAGAATCTCCAAGGGCCACCAAGGAGCCTTCAGGGAGAGCCAGGCCTCCATGGGGTCAGGATCCCAGCTGGGTCAATGGGCCGTAGCTCCGTTGGAGTCAATGGGGCCGATCCCAGCTGGGGTGTGTGATGCTCCCCAGGGGCACCCAGGGCTGTGAGGCCCGTCACTGGCACCTGCACTTGCTGCAGAGCAGCCTGGTTTGTGCCCCCGGCCTCAGTCACAGAAGCCCCCCCCCCCAGACCTGCAGGCTGAGTTGCCCCGGGCAGGAGCTTTCCCCCCAGGTTCCCAGTAGGGGAGAGTCATCCCACTGGAGCCCCGGCAGGGAGATCTCTGCTGCTCAGGGGTTGCCTGGCCTGGCGGGGACGTGGTTCCTGGGCATGGAGCTGGGGCTGGCTGGGGTCTGTGCCCAGGATCCCTCCCGGCTCTGCCCTCCCTTGGCTCCTCCTCTGCCTCTGTCATCAGCCACCCACATAGGAACCATCTCCTCCCCCGACCCTCTTGTCTTTTCCAGCCCCCCAGCTCACTGTGTCCCCTCTGCGGCCTGTCTACGTCACTGGGGAAGACGTGACCCTGACGTGCTCAGCTGCCGGGGTGCCCAATCTGTCTGGGATCCGTTTCTACAGGGATGGAGAGAAAATCCAACCCCAGGAAATTCCATCAATCCACAACGGCTCTACGGCCTCCATCCAGCTGTCGAGTGTGGCCATGTCGGACGTGAGGATGTACAGCTGTGAATACGGGCGCAGTGTGAATGGGCGAGAGTTCGTATCGGAGAGGAGCCAAAACATCCCCATAGCAGTGACAGGTGAGCTCCCCCGGCTGCTGCTGTTTGCTGGGCCCAGGGCCGGGGTCTGCTCCATGCAGGGGGTGAGATGCTGCCCAGTCACTGAGCTCCTGGGACCAAAGCAGGTCAGATTCAGCCCCCAGTTCTGGCTCCCACAGTGGGATGGGACGGGGCATCGGTGCTACCGTGGGGCTGTGGGGTCCCAGCCTGCAGGAACGTTACAAACCTGGGGGGTATTTCATGTAACAAATCCCATCCCATTCCCCTGTCTGGTCAGTAGCAGGCCCTGGCGTCAGACACATCGGGGTGGGGCTCAGCTCTCCAGCAGCAGGGGGAGACAGCTGGGAGGGGAGCTCCCAGCCCTGGGCACTGCTGGGGGAGAAGTTTGCAGCCCTGGGCACTGCTTTGGGGAAAGCTCCCAGACCTGACATCCCAGCTGACCAGAACCAATCCCAAGCCCTCCGCCCTGCAGTTTCAGCGCCATACAGAGTGTTTCCCATGGACAAGCATCCACCAGCTCCTACCTGCTGAGTGTAGCTCTCCAGGCTGCTGTCCAGCAACGCTCTTAGTGCGCAGGGGCCAGGAGTCACTGTCGCAACGTCTGGACATGTCAGTGCGCAGGGGCCAGGAGTCACTGTCGTGATGTCTTCACACGGATCTAGCTCTGTCGGTGATGATGACCAGAAGGCTGCTTGCGTGTGTGCTCCGTGCTGTGTGCACTCAGTCTCCACAGCAGACTGTGGGGGCACATGATACACATTGTGTAGATATGGCACAACCTTAGAACAGTCTGTTTTCCAGTCGGGTATTGTGATTTGGTGCTTGTGGTAGCAATGACAGTTCTTCTCTGTATCGTTATCGGTAGGGGGCTGAGTATTTCGGAATCCAGAGACAGGCCTTGTGACAGTGTGTCCCACGAGATTATGTGTATAAGAAGTAACACAAATGTGGAACAGGGACATTACAAATGAGCCTTGATTTATAAATGTCTTGTAATTAATTACTACTCAGTACTGTCCATTCCTGTTACGGGTTACCTCACTGCTGGGTGTCACCCTCTGGGATACACCTTGCTGGGCACCAAGGAGGAACAATTAATTTTTTTGTTCCATTAGTTTCAGCGCTCTGTGACACACGGGGAGTTGACATAGATCAAGCTGTTTCTTATGGACATTGCCTTTCCGATAACCTACGGAATGGACAGCGATCAATGTATCCAATATTGCTGTCTCAGGATTTAGCACGGGTATGCAGACACTAAACGAGATTGTTTTGAAAGACCCGTGGCTCAGTTCGGATGCAATGTCACTGACCCAGATACTGACTGGTGCTAACAGAGAATTAGAGAATGTGTTTACCCAATTTGTAGCTACCATGTAACTTAATTTTTTTTAACCAATTTGTTTTTCCCTTTTCTTCATGCTGCTTTCTGCCATCCATGGGGTGATTGAAATAAGGAAAGCTCATGTTTCAAATATTAGTCAGAGATTAGGATTAGTAGCGGAGTGTGCGTGTCTGTTGCTTAATAACCATCTCTTCACTAAAGTTAGGAGTCATTTGCTGTTACATTCCCGAAGAGTTAAAAGAATTACTCCATTCATTTCAAGTTGTTATGTTTTTAAAATCTTTCTCAAAGAAACAAAATCTCTGTTTTGTTTTCAATGGCTTTCGCTTTTTGAGGTTTCTGTAAAACCCATAACTTTTAACTCTTGACACAGAGAGTCAAAGTGAGAAGAGGTGGGGGAAGGAGGGTGAAGAGCAATTAAGGAAGGTAGTGAAACCCGAGCAAAGAGCGAGAAACTTTCAAAGCTGTCTTAAGCCACAGGCAGCAGCAGGAAATTCAGTAAATGGAGACAGACTATACAAGAAAAGAAGGGTGTGTTTTTAGTTGAGCGTGGAAGGCGGTTTGGTGGGTCTAAAGAGTTGGGAATTTGCACCTGGAGATTTTATCTTGGCTCTGTGAGGAGAGTGGGGGTAGTTACCTGCTCTTGTAAAAACTGGATTTGGTCCTCTGCTGCCTGTTGGTTTTGTCCACATCTCAAATGGTTTGCAGGAGCGCCCTTACATGCTGCAGTCAACCAATTTGGGGCAACTCCTTGTGTTAATACATCAATTCTACATGTTCACCTGCTCAGTCTTGGCTTTCCACTTTCAGATGCTTTTTCATTCTCTCCCCTGAGATTACATTGCAGCTTCTGTCTCCTCATATACTTTGTGAAACTGTCAATTTTCCCCTTCATTTGATTTACCGATCCTTGGACAGTCTGGACAGACCCTCCCAGACACTGACTTGTCTCGTTCTGACAGGCACCAGTCTAGGTCTTTGTTGGACCAGAACCCGGCTCATCTTTCAATTGTGCCAGGGCCACCTTGTTTGATTTCTGTCCCCCTCCTTCAGGCACTGTGAAAGCACTAGATGTTTTGTGTTTAGTAGCAGGGGACGGCACCTTCTTCTTTTGCAAAGTTTCACCAGCTGTCTCCAAATCTCTGCGTTTCCTCTTTTAATCGTTCAAGCAGATCATGCGTCTGGGCTGCTTGTGCTTCCAGTGGCCTATTGACTGTGTTACCTCCTCTAGTTCTCTGATGTTTTCCTGTACCGGGGAGGCAAGCAGAGAGCCAGGCTGTTTAGCCATCTCCGAGCCATTCATTGCAAAGTTCGGGATTTTTTATTACTGTTCTTTGGAGCCTCCGTTTCTACCATGGCTTTACACATACCAGTCCATGTCTCCCCACTTTCTGTTTTAAATTCAAATGGGCCCCTATTCTGGTTTTGTAGGTCCGTGTTTCATCAAACTCCATGTGGATCGGAAGGGAGGGGAAGAGGGGGTTCCCTAGCTCGTGGCTTTCTCTTATGCTAGATCGCGACTGCTACCGAGGGCAGCTCGCTGCTTACCGGATCAGAGGTCGGGGTCACCAATGTAGTTCTTCAGGCAGCTGTTAGTTCGCAGGGGCCAGGAGTCACTGTTGCGACATCCTAACGTGTCTGGCTCTGTCGATGGTGATAACCAGATGGCTGCTTGCGCGTGTGCTCCGTGCCGTGTGCTATGTAGACTTACGCACTCAGTCTTCACAGCAGACCCCAAGAGAGCCCCCAAATACCACAAACCGGATAAGGATCGCAGGCGCGAGGCCAGGTCTACTGTGAAGTGAAGTACACTCACAGTTATCAGTAGACTGTACTGAACCACCATGCATTAGTGCACCGTAACAAAGGAACGGCTCAACACAATGGAACACTTCCATTCCCCCCCCGAACGGCATTGAAAGACCGTCCTCCCCCCCAAGACACTACCCTATATACAGGTACCAACACATCACTGCTGACGTGTGAGGTTGTCACACTCTGGCTCTGCCAGACAACCTCCAATCACCTTGTGCCTTGTGATTGGATTAAACCGTCTCCGTCCATCATGTATCGACCTCGACCTTTTCCTGAACCAGTGTTAGTATCGGTGGGGAGGAAACATCCAGCAAGCTGTTTATCTTAGATCGTTTTCCTGAACCAAAGTTAGTATCGGTGGGAAGTGAACATCCATCAAGCTGTTTATCTTAGATCCTTTTCTTGACCATGAGTTGGTATCCGGGGGAAGTGGGTACTGTTGTCTTTTCCAATGTGCCGTGTGTTTACAACTCATGATAAGTCCCATGACCAATTAGTCTCAGCCCTGGACCTGTTATCAATGAGTCTCAGCCCTGTTCATGCCAAGATCTGTGAGCAGGGGGCTGCTTTTGTGCCCAGTTTTGCTTTGCCTTGTGTTAGCCATGTTTTGTTCATTGTCAGCTAGGCCTCAGGCTAGGTTGGGTGCTGCAGGGGCTTCTGTCTTAGGCCTTTATTTTACTACAGAGAGATAAATCTGAGCTGGTGAGATCGGCCCCGCCCCTGCTATGTGATTCACCGACACCGGTTGAATGTGGGCGCACAACTGGCTGGAGAACCCTCCCCAGAGAGTAGCCGTCAGTGGCTCCCGGCTCCCAGCTGGGCGG